CGGTGCGTTTCCACCATTCGTAGGCTTCCCCACGAAGTAATTGTGATGCGAGTCTCGGGTGGTCGTTAAGCGGTACGTTCAGATCTCTCAACACTCGGGCAGTCTGTTCAATCCAATTCCAAGCAATTTGAGGTTCGGCGATTCGATCGCCCAGAAACTCTTCTGCTCCATTATCTTTCAGAAATTTGAAAGTGATTACACGCGGTGGCGGCGGTGGTGGTGGTTGAAACATTGGAGCATTGGCCACTTGTTGAAGCAAGTTTGCCAAGAAAACAGGAATTGCGTAGTCAGGTTGACCACCAGCATTCGCATTGTTCTGAGGAACATCCTCTAGGTTGATAGGCTCGTTTTGGATAGGAGGGGTGAAGCTAGATGCTTCAGTGTGAACACTTACGTGTTCATTGTTGCCTTGTCCGTGTGCGGTTTCTTGACTCATTCTACAATTAATAGAAATTCCTTTATTAGGATTCTTTATTTGGGTAGTTGAGTTCATGACAGAAATTACAAAAGATTACAATAATTGATAAAATCAAGGGATTCGATCAATAAGATTTATTCTAAGCGTTTACGTTTGAATAGTTGGATTTTCTTGAATTTACGGAAGGATCTTCCACACCGGATCCGCAGATGCTGTTGGCAGAGTCTATGCTGAACGTCTCTTCCGGGTCATCCCGTTCCCATGCAGCCTTGCGGCGCAGATAAATCCTTCTTTTCATTATTTTCCCGAAGCGATGGGCGCGTTGATAGCGTATCAGGGAGTCATATACATTTCGTTTGTTCTTTCGTCTTTTACCATGTACGAAAGTGCGACTTGAATCAACACTTGATATCATTTCCGAATTAACAGTTGACATCTATGAAATTCAATACAGACATTTAATACATAGATTTTTATTACCTTCTTGGAGCAGAGGGATGCGAGAGTCGTGGATGTGATTGAATTTTTTTTTATATAGCCAAAATATATATGTATATAACATATATATATATTTAAATCCAAGTTTTGATCCGAAGATCGGGTTTAAAACCATTTGCTCTGATACCAAACTGTAACACCCTAATCCGTCCAGGTCTGCAGCCCTTTTAGGACTAAAGTATAAACTTGGTATTCGTAAACATTCAAAATATTTCAAATATTTAAAACTTTATTAATAAATAATTCAAAATAGTAACGGAGTAATTTAATGTTGCGGAAGCTTAATAAAACATAATACAAACATAATTAATTTATGTCTTTTCAACAGTAATTTAAATGCAAAACACACATCCGTCCGACCTTCTCGTCCCATCTGCCTCCAGGAAATCATTTCTTCATTCATTTTGTTTACCTGCGTGTAGCAAATAAAACATACTACACGCTTAGCGTTTAAGCTGAGTAAGCATATCTAATGCGTCGAACATCCATATAAACTGAATCTAAATTCATAATCAAACCCATTTGATATCATGCACATAATGTTCAGTTCAGGTACTCAATAATCATAAGTCAATATTCAACATTATATTATTTTCACATTTTATCCGTCATTCATAATAACCACAATATTAAATTCAATATTTATTCATATTCAATATTCAACCATATCCTTATACAATACTTAGTCTAAGGCAAATCACTTTAATATTTGTCAACCCTTAAATGAATTCTAGTTTAAATAATTAAACTATATTCCAGTATAAAATATTCCTAAATAATCCTTAAGCTAGGCCTAGTTTAAGATAAAAGGGTTTTGAAAATCTTAAACTTACCTTCACTTAAGGCCATCAAAAAACCGACAGCGTAGTGTTCACTGTTGGGTGGGTGGTACCCCGAAACGAGTAGGTACTCAAGTTTGGTTCTTGGATCCCGTACGTACGTTTTAACCCCAGCCACCGGGGTTCACACCCGCAAGGCCTAACTTAAATAGGTATATCTTAGAGGTCTTCTAGATACCTTTCAAATCAACATTAATATGGGTATATCTTAGAGGTCTTCTAGATACCCTTAACAATATATTATTTTCATAATCATCAATATATTCATTATGATTAAATCATTCACAATTATCATTTTAATCAGAATATTTATTGAGATTTAATCATCATAATCATCAATCAATAATTATTACCATAATCATTAATCAACATAATATTCAATAACAACTAGCGGCCTAGCTTCGGGTGTTAACACCCGAACTTACCGTCATGCATCACATAACATTTTTATTTGTTAAAAACATCATTTTTATTGTAAAGAATCATCCTTAAAATAATCATAATCAATTGGTATCAAAAATAGGATTTTAGAGCTCAAAAATAGCAATTTCGGGCAAATTTTCGGATCAGAACTTCGGGGGATCGATCCAGCCCTCTGGATCGATCCATACCATGAA